AAACTAGTTACAAAATAAAAAGGGGGAAATAAAAAATAGAGAATCCTCCGGGTAGTATGCCCAACCCCAATCGTCCGAATAGTAATGTTTGTTATTTTGATAGACATAATTATAGAAAAGATACGACAGAGTTAAGAATGTTAGTGTATGAGGTCGATTTAATGTCAAATGCAAAGGCACATAATAGATCGATATGAACATCATGACGCGTCCCGTAAGAAACCCGTTTGTTGCTGCTATTTCCGTCTCGGAACCTTTTTCATTTAAATAGATTAAATGGAATCAGAATCCGTTTCCAATTATCTTGATTCCCGGGATATCAAGATGGCAACAATTTAAATATTTGTTTGATTCAAAGAGTTTTTTTTTTCAATAATATATATACATGGAATATATTACACCACTAGAAGCAATACAAGAGAATTTCTATTTGAATAGATTAATGATATACTAATATTAGTATTAGTATACTCAGATACTAATCTAGAAATAATGTCAAGTTTTAAAATGTAAACTTAATAAAATACAAAGCATTTCTATTTAGATTAATGAATCTAATAATTTTGAAATTTAAATTCAAATTGACTAAGAATTAATATGAATCCAGTATAATTTCCAAAGGCTCTCATCTCAAAGGAGCTATCCTTGGGAGACAGACCTAAAATATCCTCTATATATAAATCATCATTAAAATTAAATTAAGGACAAAGCTTTTTCTTTTAAGAATGCATCCGGTTCTATCTTTCTTTCGCCAGTTAATCCACACCATTGATACATTGATAGTGGATTAAGTGGCAAACCTATATTATGCCCAAGTGAGGACTTACTTATGTAAGGGTATCCTATTGCTAAACATTCGGCTACCCATGTATAGCTCTAGTCTTTTTTTCAACAATTCCTTCTTGCTGAGAAGTGATGCAATAGGAGAATTCATGACTAATATCTTCAGAAGCACAACATTCAGAGATTTTTGCATTCTCTAACTCCTTGTCATGATCACTTCTAACCTTGACAATCACATTGTTCTTCTTCTCTTGAATACTTTGACACAAATCTTGGAAAACTTCAAAAGTGTATGATTTTTCTCTAAGAAAGTTCGTCCATGTAAACCCAGAAAAATCATCTATAACCACATAAACATACCTCTTTCTAACAAAGATTTCTATATGCATTGGTTTAATTAAATACATATGGAGAAGTTCCAGCACTCTAGAAGTAGTTTGATGTTGCTGCATTGGGTGTGACATTATGGTTTGCTTCCTAATTTCACACTCACCACAGACTTTCCCTTCTTCAATCTTGAGTTCTGGATTTCCTAAGATGACTCCTTCAGATATGATTTTCTTCATTCTTTTAAGGTGAAGGTGTCCAAGTTTCTGGTTCTATAGCTTAACTTCATCCTCCTTGGTGTTTAAACATGTGGAAGAATAAGCAGTTATTTGAGGTTCCCATAGATAAAAGTTGTCTTTAGACCTTATACGCTTCATCAGAATAACATCTTTCTCATCTTTGACCAAGCATTATGATTTTTGAGAAATTAACCAACAAACCTTGATCACATAGCTAACTAATGCTAATAATATTACCAGTTAATCCTTTCACAAGAAGAACATCTTCTAAACTAGGTGATCCAGCACACATCAATTTACTAACTCCTTTAATTTCCCCTTTGAAACCATCACCAAACCTGACAGAACTTGTGGGATGAGATTTGATATCCACTAGAAACTTCTGAACCCCTGTCATATGCCTAGAACGTCCATTGTCAAAGTACCAGCCTTCTTTAATTGAAGCCTTCAAGAAATTGTGAGCTATAAGGTTAACATCCTTGTTGATAAGCCTTCTCTTTTTACTCACTTGATTAGCCTTAGAATGAGCTGAAGATTGTTAATCTCCATACAATTTATAACATAAAGACTTTATATGACCATACTCACCACAGTAATGACATCTCCAAGTAGATTGAGATTTATTTGGAGCCTCATCATGACTGTCGGGATGTTGTAACATGTTGTTGGACATCATTTTTTTCCTTTCAATATGAAGGAACTTCTCTGCATACAATCTTCTTTGTTTATTATCAGATTGATAATGAACTTATGTGTCTCCAGCCTTCTTCATCCTTCTCAAGGAATCTATCACGTTATTGAGCTTGGAATTTAAGAGAGTTACCTTATTTTGAAGATGAGAAACAACACCTAAGAGTTCTTTCTTCTCATTTTCCAATCCATCTATGGCCTTTCTCTTATTTTCCTCTATCTTTAGACATTCTTTACACCTGTTGCAGGTTTCTTTGTAGGACATGTCCAGATCTTCATAGAGGTCATTTTAATCACAAGCTTCTATTTCATCGGCCCATCTGCCAGAGAGAGCAGTCACAAGTTTGACTATCTTAGAGTTAGATTCATCTCCTGACTCATCATCATCAAACCAAGATACAGACAAGCCCATTTTCTGTTTCTTGAGATAGGTGGGACATTTTGGCTTGATGTGACCAAAACCCTTACACTCTCTTCAGTCCTAGCATTCTTTTGAGAGTCATTGTTATTTCTAATGTCAGATGTGACGTTCTTGACACTTGGTCTTCCTTTTCTGTCCATTCTCTTCAGAATTCTGTTGAATTGCTTCCCAAGTAATACAATGGTATTTGACAGTCCTTCATCAATATCCAAGTTAGCTTGACCCTCTTTATCTTCAGTGTTGGAGACAAAGGCTATGCTCTTGTTCTTCTTCTCATACTTGTCACTAATAGCCATTTCAAAAGTTTTAAGTGAACCAATAAGTTCATCAACGTTCATTTTGTTGATATCTTGAGCTTCTTCAATGACAGTTACTTTCATATCAAACCTCTTGGGGAGAGACTTGAGGATCTTTCTAATCAGATTTTCTTATGATATTTTCTCTCTCATAGCACTAAAGGCATTGTCTATTTCAAGAACATTCATGTGAAAGTCATGAATACTCTCATCCTCCATCATCTTCAGAGTTTTAAACTTGGTAGTCAGCAGCTGAAGTCTGGACATCTTTACCTTAGATGTGCCTTCATGAATTGTCTTGAGAATTTCCCAAGCATCCTTAGCTACAGTGCAGGTGTTGATAAACCTAAACATATTTTTGTCAACTCTATTGAATAAAGCATTCAAGGTTTTGGAGTTTCCAAGAGCGGTTTCATCTTCCTCCTTGGTCCAGTCCTCTTCTGGCTTCAAGGTCCCCTTCCATCTTTATCTTTAACCATAGGGTGCTCCCAAACCTTGATGATAGCCTTTCAAGTTTTGTTATCCATAGATTTTAGGAAAGCCACCATACATGTCTTCTAATAGTCATAGTTAGTGTCATCTAAGACTGGGGGCCTGTTAACATTTCCTCCTCCTTCCTTGTCCATAGTACCAAAATACAAACTCCTTGGAACTCACCCCAAAAATAGAACAAGGTGACTTGCTCTGATACCAATTGAAATTCTGGCACACAAATACCAGATGTCGAGACAAATTTCACAACACTGGGATCAAGACATTTTGATCACACAAGTAAATATGAAAAAACTTGAATGACAAAAAGATAAAATAACACAAGTAGTTGTTAACCTAGTTCGGTGCAACTCATTTACATCTGGGGGTACCAAGCCAAGAAGAAAATTCACTATAATAGTATTAGTTCAAAGCTAAACTTCTCGATTTAGGAAATACAGAGTTTGCTAAAAAGTTTCAAAGATCTTTTTTACGAAAACCAACACAATCTGTTAAGAGAGAAGCTCCCAAAGTATCTCTCCTTGGATAACGCAAACATGTGAATTAAAACACACTCAAAACTCACCATAAAATACTAAATAGTTCAGCCCTAGACTTTTGGTATAACATGTTCTGGCACATGTCGCAACATTATGATGTCTGACTGTCATGACAGAACAGCTGGCTTAACATCTTACTGTCATCATGTTTTATCAAAATAAATGTCAATCCAAAAGCAACAGAATTTACAATATCTTTTAATTATTATTACTTTCATCGCTCTTAATATTTGATAATGGACACTTTAACTAGAAAATTATTCTCTCTCTCTTTCATTTATACACTTTTTAAATTTGTGTAAAATAACTAACTGAATCATTTATTATAAAACAAAAGGAAGATATATTTACACTTTTGTCATAACTTAAATCTTTGAACTCCAACTTCTTTTAAACTTTAATATTAAAACCCTATGAATATAAATGGCAAACGAGCATATCCGCCATATTTAAATTTTTTCTTTAAAATTTTATTAAAAAAAAGAGTGAAAGGGAATGAACATAGTTGAAACGGTCAAATAAACAATAAACCTTATAAACCTAAAAAAAATGTGAAGTATTATATTAATATATGCGTTTGCAACAAAAAACCGTATAAATCACGCTAAAAAATACATATCTAAAACTTTAATCTATTACAAAAAAAAAAAATAGATGGGATAAAACAGAGAATAGATAGGATAAAACGGGTCGGACGAGACAATCACCTCTACCTATAAGCATATGTAGCTTTAAAGTCTCTAATTTTTTTTTCCTTTCTTTATTCAAATTTTTACAATAAGTCTCTGGTTAATTTTATCTAAAGTTACTCTATTTTCCCTTCTTGAAAATAAAGTATCTTTGTTCGAATATACAAACATTTTCCATTATTTTAATGCCGACTAATACTATAAATTTTAAAAAATCTATAAATTTGACCTGTCTAAAACTAAAGTAACCATCAATTTGTTCAAAGTCTAGTTACGTGTCAGTCACCAATGATTTAGAGTCTGTGTCAATCAACACGTGTCTTAATTTTGACTCTCCACCAAAACATGCAAACAAAAACAACATCAAAAGTTGTTCTCATGTTTATCAAAATCATAGCTTATTCAACCTTATCAACAAGAACAAAAACAAACAGATATTAATCAAAACCAAAACGAAAAACGATAATTAAATTTTATTGCAAACCAGTAGCAGCTAGTATCTTGGATTAATTAAAAACTAAACATTAATTATTGAGCCTATTCTTGATATCTTCAGCAGCATCAGCCGCTTCAACCTGTTTCTTTGAAGTCTCAAGTTCAGCTTCACTTGCTTCCTTCTCATTTCTTGCAGCTATAGTCTTTGCCTGTGTTTTTTTCTTCTTTCGTTCATATCAATTCGTTTCAAATAATAATAACAAAATTGAAGTGAGTGCAATAAAAATGGAAATAATTACCTGACCCACAAAGGAAGCTTTTGCATATCTAAATGTTTCTTGTATAGAAACAGCGAAAGATAAGCAACTGTTCTTAAGGTGAGATGCAAAAGAAGTCTTGTTGTGATTTGGTGAAGGGCTTGAAGATGGAGAACTCGTTGGTTCCATGATATACTAGGATTTTAATTATTGAGTTAAAAGATCATGATGAAAAATTTATGTCCTTTTAAGAAGGAATAGAATGCTAGAAAAATTAAATTAATAAACTGGATCCGGAGCTCCAGGCCCACACCAAATACCTGTTAAGCTATTAAGAATATAATAATTATTTTAAAAATTATTGCATCGGAAAAAAAAAAGTATTTAAATTATTTAACAGATAAAATTAAACATGGAGGTAGGATGTTCTAGTAAAGACGTGATCCTGAAAGATCTAGTAGAAAGTAGCATCAAAATTGATCATGAAGTCAACATATTAATTGAAGGGTGTGGGGGTGATTGTGAGGCGGTTGTTGTCCTGTAATTTATCCATGTCCTGATGATCCTTACTGAAAAGAGATGAGTCTTGACTAAAGACTTGATGATCCTTACTTGCATTTGATTTTATGAGAAACCTTGCGTCAGATAAATTCTTGTTAATTTGAATTTTTGTTCGTGCCGTTTTTGAAATTGGAGGGATTGGACTTGAAGATGATTTTGGTCTTTCGTTGGATATAAATATGAAAGTAGAAAGACGGTCTAGAGAGGGTGAATATACCTAAATTATCGTTTTTCAAAATCAGAGTGTTTTCAAAAATAAGTTGCAAGCGGAAGGTTTGATGAGAAAATGAAAATTATATGAATATTCATCAAGTCAGCATGGATCTTTTCACAAATATCAAAGATTAATATGATGAAATGGATTTATTCAATTACGTAATGTACTAGAGGTTTTTACATAATGATTCAATAGATGGGGTTATAAGTTCAATTCATTTCAGATTATTAATCACAAAGCTAGCTCAACCAGTTATCAAATTTCAACAATCTAATGCTTACGTAATAAATCTCTATCAATGAACAAACGATATAATACGATGAAATTGAAAGACCTAAGCATGCAAATACTACAAATTTAAATGAGAGAGAGAGAGAGAGAGAGAGAGAGAGAGAGAGAGAGAGAGAGAGAGAGAGAGAGAGAGAGAGAGAGAGAGAGAGAGAGAGAGAGAGAGAGAGAGAGAGAGAGAGAGATGACAGTGAGTGTTATACCCCAAATTTTACCCTTAGATTCATCGAGCCTCGCATATCATTTATGTCAATCATCCATGCATAGCTAACTGTTTTATTTAGTTTTTGTTTATTTTGTAGGTTTGCTGAAGGAAGTTTGAAAGTCATGAAGCCCCTGTGTGTACGCCCATCAGGATTCTACTCTTTTATAAGTTATGTTGAATTCATATGGAGAATAAGGTCAATGTGCTCTTATCCTAATGGTCTCGTGGTCAATACCTGGTCAATGTTTTCCTCCGAGGTTGCTAAGAAATTTCCTAAAGAGAATAAGGTTTCCTACCCACTGGTTACAAGGATGGTTGTTTAAGAACTAGATGTAATTTAGTGGTACGTTGAATTACAAATGATGTTCTCACTTTCAAAGCCCCAAAGTATTAGTTCACGTGACAAAGTGTGGCATAGTCTAAAAATTTACTTGAAGCTTCAGCAAAATGTTTCTATGAATATGTCAAGAATAAAGTGATTGAATTGTGACCAAATTGAAGTTTGGAGATGACAAACTCGCAAATTCAAGGGCATTTTCAAGCGATGTCGGATTCTTGGGCATTTATTCTGCCTTAAGATTTGTCTTTGTGTTGGCCTACTGGAAGCTCCAATAATAGAAAGTTTGTTTAAAAATCATTTGTCTGCTTTAAAAGCTTTCACTTATGATACTAGTTTATGGACTAATGTAAAATGGTGGATATAAAATGCAAAATCAGTGTCCTATATCTATTCAAATTGTTCGAGGTTCAAACTCAGATTTGATTCAAATTACAAGAGATTCTCATTTGATTTTTATCAAGTTCTAATGTCAAATCCTATGATTGAGATTCAAAGAAATTCTAAGATTGGTGTCAAGGTTGTGGACTTATATGATTAGAGTCCTAGACAAGATTCATAACCTTTTTCCTCGCAATTCAAGTTGTCGTAAGCTTGTCACGTGCAAGTGAATTCAAGTTATATCTCCACAAATCCATGTTTGGTTCATGATATTCAAATTCAAAGATGGTTCATAAATTGAATTCATAAGATGCAAGAGTCACCTAAGAGTCAAGGAAATTCAAACTTTTGAAAACTTACAAGAAGTTGTTCAATTTCAACCATGAAGAAATTACTCATTAAAGTTACAAGTTCAATCCATTTCTTTTTCCTTTTACAAAATTTCAAATTGAGTCTTGGTGTTCAATCCCAAGTTCGAAATCCTATATTTGCTTCAAGATCCATGTCAAGGTTACAGTTTCAAGAAGTCCAGTTCTAACAAGAACAAGTGTGCAAAGTACCTTCAAGACTCATGATGATTTCAAGATCTATGGATTCAATACCAATTATAAAAATAAAAAGAAAAGAAAGAAGAAGAATTATATAATACTAAAAGCATTTAGTTTTATCAAACTAGAGTTGGGTTCTTATTCCAAATACTGCTAGATGATTACAAGAAACAATTCAATTATGAAAGGGTGCCAATATCAATGGTCCCTACAAGTTCACATCACATAAAGTATTATCACAAAAAAAGAGATTATTATAATTTGTTGGTGAGTCTCGAACGGCCCCCCTTGAAATCGCTTTTAGCTTCACTATGCTTAGACTTTATGATGGTATTACTCTCTTTGCCCCTTTTGATATCACTATATCATGCTTAAACACCACAGTTCAAGATTCCAAACAGAGGGTATACATATTTGGCATATGGAAGCAACACAAAGTACCAAGTCCTTCAAGAGGCAATACCCTCTACTAAGCACTCTTCGTACCCGAGTTATTTCCAACCGTACACATGAAAAGGAGAAAACAAATAAAGCAGTTACAAACATATTTCAAACACAATCTTTTAAAAAAGGAATTAACCACAACATCCTCAAACAATTTTCAACAGCAAATCAAACAAATTCAAATACCTCCCAAAACACATATCAAGCATGTTGGACTAAAAAAAGGAAAAAGCAGAATATGTCTCATACAAAATTGTCACCATCAATCCTCATTCATTCAAAAAAAAATTTGTCCAAAGCATCAGTAACACCGAGTATAAAAAGGAGAGTAAAACACAAAGTTTAGGGGGATCGAATACCAGTTCACAACAATAACAGTGAACATCCACACCAGAAAAATACAGCATATCACATAGCAGGGAAAAACATAATATACATACCCTTCTATTGATGAAAGCTAGAAACAATTTCAGATAGCCTCTCGATTGTTTCTTCATGTGGTTTTTGTTATGATACAATATCATTCCCAATAGCTTGACATCCGATTCTCACCGCAACACCGAGATTTATAGTGCTTCGGCATTTGTTTTTGCTTTGTCTACGTGCACTCTTCAATGGTTTCTCATTGGAACCTGCATAGTTCTTTGTTATTTGACAAATACTTCTAAGAGTTCATAATAACCAATCCATAATATAACAGAGAAAATAAATCTCTTATTTGGATCTTGACTTGTATATAACACATTTGTCAAACACTTCTATGTAATCTTTACTCGAATTACGTTTCTTGAATCTTTCAAAATCACCAATTCTGCTTCAGGACTTTGTGTGTATCAATCAATCCATTGATCCTACCGTTTCCTTGAGCGGTGAAATTGTTTGAAGATTTGAGAAGAACTATGTCTTATCCGTAGTTTTCCACACAATCACTACTAAGGCAATTCTGGAGAGAGAAAACCTATTGTTTTTCAATGAAATTTGTCACCACCATTCACAATCACCTGATTCGTGCTAACAACCCAAAAAACTCAACTATACTTCCAAGAACGATTAGTTTCAAGGACATGTCTCCTTCAATCAATTACAAAAGTCTAGTTATCATGAATTTTTTGCAAGACTTTGAACACTCAAAACAGAGGAAATTAATTTTTCACTAAAATCACACTGAAAATTATGATCAGAATGATAGATGATTTTTTTTTATAGAAATGATGACAAAATGGTTTTTTATATGTGCTTGAGATTAAGCACACGAAATGGTCGAAAATAACATTTAGATTTGAATTAAGAGAAATCTATTATTTGAATCAAATGAGTAAGTATAGTGGAATAAAAGAAAACAACAATTTTGAAAATATGCCAGTTGACTTGAAACAGGGAAAGAGTGATTCAAATCATGAGCCTCGTGATTCGAATCATGTGCAAAAATTAATTTGAATCAAATTCCACAGCCTTGACAAAAAGTTATTGAAAAAGTGAATGATTCAAATCATGTACAAATATTGATTCAAATCAAATCCAACGAAATTGGTCACCATGAAAATGATTTGGATCAAGTGCAAAAATTAATTTGAATCAAATTACCTAGTTTTTCTTCTGTCCAATTTGATTAGGATAAAAAAATGTATGTAAACTCATTGATTCAAATCAAACATATAAAATCTCAATTCTTGAAAATCTCGATTCGAATAAAACATGTTAAGTTAGCTTGTAATGTGTAATTGTTAAAAATCCTATTAGGTTAGTGTGTTATTTTTCTTATAAAGAGCATGCTAGTTTCTCATCTTGCATAAGGAAAAATAGGAAGATAAAATCCTAATCCAAGAGAGAGAGGTTATTTGTTATTCTTGTATACTTGCAATCTAGTTTGATAGGGAAAGGAAAGAATAACAGTTTATAATCAATCCTTGTTGTTTCTTCTTGTTGTTTTGCCTTATTTTTTTTGTTAACCCTAACCCTTGTGTGTTTCTTGTCTATAAAGAAACCGTTTATATTTTGTTTCAAGACATCTGATTCACAACAAATTGTTGCGGTGAGCGTGGAGAAGATTCCTTCAACAAAGTATGAGATTGAAAAGTTTACCGGAGTGAACGACTTTGGTTTGTGGCACTTGAAGATGAAAGTCCTACTGGTTCAGCAGGGTTGTTTGGAAGCGTTGAAGAGAGAGGCAGCCATGGACGCTGCGATAACGGAAAAAGAAAAGACAAC